CATTCCAGATTATTATTTCCGAACATTCCAAAATGTTCCGAGATGTTCCCAAACTTTGGAACGCACGACGGATTTTGCTTTACATACTCCGTCCCAAAAAATATACCCACACATACTGTTTTAATTCTCAAAAGTTCGGGAGAATTTAATTTTCGAATCAAGTTCGAGTTACACACAAAGTACAATAAAAATTATTATGATGATGATGAAAAGTGCAAAATAAAAAATACAAATGTCTAATTACCAATTTATTAGTTGAAGGCTGGATCAAGACTCTCGTCTCTCATATTTACAAACAAATATATAATTTAAGATGAGTGGTTGTGTGGGGATAAGGAGGGTGGAAAGGGTGAGTGGTGGAACAACAGTATGTATAGTACATATGTATCTGTACATAAGCGATTACAAATTTACAAGAATCTATTGCACGAAGACATAAATAGGTAAAGATAAGGCAGGACAATAGAACCAGAATAAAATGTAAATTTGGGAGTATTGAATCGTATGTCCTGCTGTGTTCAAGTAGAAGAAAGCAATTGTAATTTCATTTTAATGACAGGAAAGTTTGCTATTAGAAAAACTTAATTTCCTGTGATACAAACATCTGTTGTGATCCTGAAAGCCTATACAAACAGATTACCTGACTATCGTCTATAATAATAGTTTATTAAATTCAAATATTGATATGATCTGAACAATAATGATCACCATGAACTTTTTGTTTAATTATATGTCAAAGATTTTTGATCGATTTAGTATCATTAGGCGTGAAACGCTTATAAACCAATGAACTATTTGAATTTAAAATTGCCCATGTATTATTGTTTCTATTAGTAAATTTGTCTTTTTCTCTCTTTCAGATTCTAATATGTATGCCCATTACGTTTTCAAAGCCTTTGACGTCAACTGCAATGGAGCAATTAGTTTTAGGGTAAGTGTTCATTATGGTGTTAATTGAAAGTTAACCGGTAACAACTAGTTAATTAATGTTGAACTGGCGTAAATTGTAATCGAATGAAACTCGTTGATCGGAAATAAACAAATACACTATTAAATCAGCAATGATGAAATCAAATTTGATGAAATGTTGGAATAAAGTAATATCACCTTCTAACTTGAGACGTGATAATTGTTTGAGGAGGACTAATTGTGACGCCAAACTTCGTCTCTCATAAATCAGATCAAGTTTAATAAAAACATCACGCGCAAATTCATTATCGTTCGCGAATCCTAAGAAAGGGTCATTAAAATATTCCACAATCACATTTTTTGCAGTAATATAATTTCTTTCGGTATAGGATCATCAATAACAGTTATTACGTCCAATTCTCCAAGTAACGCACGCATTCGATATCTCCACACATAAAATTTTTCTCCGTTGAACGATTGAATATTTCTTTTATTGACTTTATTCTCCATTTTATTAAAATGCACTTAATATTTGGAAGCAGTAAGCTGGGTCCATAACCTGTTAGGTTATGGGGTAAAATCAAACACGTTGAGAGTTTTTCCGAAGTTTATCTCAGAATAGGAAAGAGTGGAGATTCGTGTCCAACCATTCTTAGGACTGACGACGACGACGGTATTCATTTTTCGTAATTAATGTCCGCTGCAGTTCCTACCTGACACCTCTTTTCTGTGCTTACAATATTACCTACACCATATGTCGTGAGTAAAAGGAGTTGGTGCTTTACTAACCAATTGGATCTACTTATTTCAGAAATATTGACCATTGCGTGAGTTTCGTAGATGATAAGCTACGCGTATATCAAATGCCAGTGCAAAACGCTAATGATTATTACGACGAGTATGATCGCTGCAAATAAAGTATGTCAAATGTCGGTCGTTTCTGCGCAACTCAGAAATATTTTTTGTGGTGTACGTACGTATACGTGTGTGTATACTGGGGTAATTAATTTTTTATAATACGAGGATAGCTCTATTGGCGGGCCACCCACAAAATAAAGATGACGCACCTAATTAATGTTGATATGATGTTCATTTTTTTGTGTTCTTAACTCTATGGTATATTATCAGCGATGAACAAAGTATATAGTTATTTAACTTTTATCGCAATGGACGTGTGTAGTAGCGTAGTAGTAATCTGTTAATATTCATTTTTCACAACAGAACTGTTTACATTCTCCATCGATGTAGCTGCTTAGTTGTTACCGCAATTTCTCTGTACGTTGCCGAAACAGGCCCAGGGCCTGCTTTCGGATTGCAACTTCTTCTGGTTTTCTTACAATTTCTATTGTCCCTAACCTAACCTAACCTCCAAAGCTTTCGACTTATTTCGGGAACACCCTATAGAACGATTATAACTTACTAAAACAAAAAAGATCGGTTGTCTGTAATGTCGGTTTACTGACGATAGTTGAACGTGACAACGTCATAAGAAAATACTGATTAAATGGTTTCATTTTTCAAAAGAAAATTTTAATTTTATTTGTTTGATAGATATTTTGTATGAATATAGAGAAGGAGGTAAATGGAAATGTATTATTTTGTAGCAGCTGTCCACGCGGACGCATCGCTCACTCAAGTAGGAGAGAGACAGATGTCGAACGCTGCCGAACGCGGAGGCCGATTGTACCTCTTTGTCGCTCGTTCCGCGCTCTCGCTTGCACTTCAAGCCTTAAATGGAACGCCTCAGAGCAAGGTAACGCCGCATGAGTCATGTTTTTTCGTGCGTGCAGCCCGCTCCATCGAGTTATAAGACGTTGTCACGTCAAAAACAAAACCAAATTCGTCTTATATATTTAGTTCAAAATTTGGTGACAATCTAGTAAGCAAGAACAAAAGTTTATGAAATGAAGTTCTTCATCCCTCTTTCCCACTTTGTCATCATCGACAAGCCCATCCCTACTGTAAGAATAATTTTCGAAATAGAATATTATGACATCTCATTTCTTCAGTTTATGGGCAGTTATTTCTCTGGTATTGATAGATAGGAATAAAATTTCAATGATATCGTTGCTTTTTTCTTTTTGTGGATGTAAAATTGATCCAATCATCGGTATTGGATGTAAAAGGAGGTGAATCTAGTTGACAATAGTGGCTGCTTGCACCGCATTTTCCCAAACGACTTCCGTTTCTTATTTTCCTATTTTCCTGATGACGTAACACCGTAAAATCTTTGCAAATCGAAGTCGGCGCTTTGCACTTGTTACAATAACGATTACCGAAAGTATTACCGTTCACGCTAACTTCGTTTTTGCTGGCAAACTGCCACTTTCAATTTTCCGCTTAATTAATACCTACTACCGTGATAGGGAGCTTATTCAAATCAATTGGTCCCATCAAATCGAAAGTACATAAACTTTAGGTATCTGCCGTACACTATACCTATGTAATTTCGATCTAAATTTCAGTTTGACGTTAAATTTATTTGCTCCATCCTCATCAGCGTGTAAACGATCGTTAATTAAAGTTTGCTAATTTTCATGTCTTTAAATAAGACACACGTCACCTCGTGTGAACGAACTTATTAGCATATTTCTGTGATACATTTTTTAAAAAAGAAAGGCAAATATACTTCGTTTACTTTCTGTAGCGATGTGACCTTCAGTTTGACCGGCGCAAAGTAGAAAAGAACAGCACTAGGCCAGAAAAGAAAGGAGACGACTCTCGACCAAACTCTTAACCATCGAGGAGCGTATCATCCGTACAGTACTGTACGGAAAAATTGACCATTTTATCCACTACAATTGTATTGCTCAAATGTGCTGTTATTGGTACCATTTACTACTGAAATTATCAACGAGATGTTTATTTATATTTGAGGACATATTAAAGGCTTTAAGGCTTGTTTTCGACTCGCACTACTATTCATGATTGAACAAAACTTTTGGCAGGTACTGTATGAAAAAGTATGTTTAATGAACAAGAGTAGAGAGTATAATGAGCTTTTTTCCTTCTTACCTACGATTTTGCCAGCGCGCATCCAAGACATTGGAAGGGGATCATCGCTAGAGAAAATAAATGAAGTATAGCTCCTACGACCTTGTTTATTTATTCTTTCGTTCAAAGCTCGACTATTCTGCCCTGTTTTATATAAAATTTAGATGCCTACTAGCTACCGTCAGCTGTTTTATTTATAACTTATTGTAATTTCTGTCTCAATTAAAATTCTAATTTAGTTTTGTTTTTAAAACTAAAGCAATGAAAGATGAATTCAATTTGTTTTTCCACGAGAATCTATCTAAAGTTTGCATTGTGGTTACAAATCGTAAAGTCCATTTCTGTTTCTACAATCTTTCTACTTGGTTCTTTTGATTAAAGTAAAACGTAAAAAATTAGATATCATTAAAAAATACATTCTCTGCTTTTACAGCAGAATTTCAGAACAATGGACGGGTTCTTTAGAAATAAGAGTCACCTCGTTAGCCTCGAATACACTCGAGGTTTTAATTACCAGTGGCTCATTTGACAATACAAAGCCGCACAGCATTCATACACCCGACTAAAAATGTAAGAAAATTTAATACCTCTCTCTCTACGTTGCTGTCCCTCTTATCACAGTTTCTCAGTGCAGGATTATCACACTTATATTATCTATATAAGCATATGAAACCCAAAAATGTTTAAATGGAAACATCACAATTTAACGCCTCAAATTTAACAGATAATTTACTATAAAGAAACATTGACAAATTTACATACTTCTTCATTAGTATAATATAATCTATAGATTATTTATTTAAGGGCCAATTCAAAGGGTGAAATAGGGAAAATTTGCCCTTCCAAAAGTTCTACAACTTATGAATTATTTTAAAAATGTGAATAATGATGTGTGAGGAAACTTGAATTAGGAGATTTGTCCCTGAAAATCAAAAAGAACCACAAAAATAAAAAATACACTCTTTTCATTTTTAATGACAAATAACATGTAAAATGTCACTCAACACGACGTTATACTGTTTTGAATTTGAAAAACGCGGCTCGTTTCGGTAACTACATTTAAACTAAGTTAATTTCCGAACAAAAATTATTTAATAATCATCATAAAGTATTCAGTCCTAAGACTGGTTGGACACGTGCTTCCACTCATTCCTATCCTGAGCTAATCAACACATTTCCCTAAAACTAGAACAATCCACATCCTTAACTATTTGCGAACAGTAATCTAATCTAGGTCTACCTCTTCCCCTCTTAGCTTTTCTGCCTCTAATATGTCTCTGACTAGACCTTCATGCTTGAGAAGGTGTCCTACCAACCTATCTCACCTATTTCTTATTGACTTCCATAGAGTCCTCTGTTCTCCTATTCTTTCCAATACCTCTTCATTTCTAACCTTTTCTACCCACGGTATCCTCATTATTCGCCTATAACACCACAATTTGAACGCTTCTAATCTTTTCTTTTCCGCCGCGCCTACTGTCCATGTTTCGCACCCGTACAGCGCCGCGCTCCAAACATACACCTTTAACGAATTTCAAAATTAATAGAATTATTCTAATGGTATAGAGATATACTGCAATAATTAATAATTTATCTAATTTAATAATTAAAAAGATTAGCAGTAAAAGCTCACTGTAATACGATTTTCTCACCCATTTCATATAAATTAGCATTTCTTCAAGTCAAAACCAATTCGCAGATTAAAATTATTTCTTGTAGAAATTGGTGTAATGACTGGATGGTGGAAAAAAGCAATTGAAATGGACGAATCGAAGGCGGAAGTGAAGTGATTATTTGTATAATTGGGACGATAAAAACTGACAAAGTTTGCAATAACTCAACTATGAGAATGAACTTCCCACTTGGAACTGCAGTCATTTGCTACCTTTTGAACACTCCCTTGTTAAGTTAAGAAATGTTTCATGAGGAGAAGTGACTAAGTGAAAAGAGATAACCGTCTAGTCATCTTTGCTTTCCTAAATTCCTGAGTGTTGAACTTTCTTAAAAGTCCGTTGTTAGCAACATGCT